AAAGGTAGTCAGGTTGGTCAGGCATAACTTGCCTTCGGTGAATCCATGACTGTTCCTAATCACCTTCTTCTCCTACAAGTGTTTAGAGATGCATTCCTTGAGGATCTACTCCATGGTTTTTCCAGGGACTGAGGTGAGGCTGACTGGTCTGTAGTTCCCTGGATCCTCCTTCCCCCCACCTCGCTTCTCAAATATGGGCACATTGTTTGCCATTTTTCAATTATCTGGGACCTCTCCTGATTACCATGAGTTTTCAAAGATGACGGCCAGTGGCTCTGCCATCACATCAGCCAACTCTCTCATCACCCTTAAATGCATCCCATCTGGCCCCATGGACTTGTATATGTCCAGCTTTTCTAAATAGTCCCTAACCTGTTCTTTTGCTACTGTTGGTTACTTGCCTACTCCCCAGACTATGCTGCTTGGTGCAGTAGTCTGGGAGTTGACCTTGCCTGTAAGACTGAGGTGAAATAGGCACTGAATACATCAGCCTTTTCTGTATCCTCCGTCATAAGTTTGCCTCCTCCATTCAATAAGGGACCCACACTTTCCCTGATCCCCCTCTTGATAGACACATACTCATAAAAACCCTTCTTGTTACCCTTCTCATCCTTTGCTAGCTGTAACTCCAATACCACTTTGGCCTTCCTGACTTCATCCCTGCATGCCCGAGCAAGGCTCTCATATTCCTCGCTAGTTTTTTGTCCAAGTTTCCATTTCTTATAAGCTTCCTTTTTGTGATTTTGTTTACTGAAGAGTTCCCTCTTTAGTTTAACTGGTCTTCTGCCATACTTGATAGTCTTCCTGTGCATTGGGATGGTTTGTTCCTGCACTCTCAGTAAGTTTTCTTTAAACTCCAGCCAGCTCTCCTGGACTCCTCTCCCCCTCAGACTGGCTTCCCAGGGGATCCTGCCCATGAGTTATCTGAGCAAGTCAAAGTCTATGTTCCTTACTCTGCTGCTCTTCATCCTTCCTTTCCTCAGTATCCTGAACTCAATCATGCCATGGTCACTGCTGCCATCCACTACTACATTCCCCACCAATTCTTCCCTGTTTGTAAGCATCAGGTCAAGAAGAGCCCCTATTTGGCCACTCCAGCACTTGCACCAGAAAGTTGCCCCCAGAACTCTCCAAAAACTTCCTGGATTGCCTGTGCACTGCTGTATTTCCCTCCCAGTCATTGTCAGAGTGATTGAAGTCCCCCATGATAACCAGACTTAATCTAGTGCATTGTTTTTGAACACTGAACAGTGCTAACATTGTATGGCACCTCATGCACCTGTGAAAGGACCTCAAAGCACCCAAGGGTACCCTGGGTTGAGAATCAATTAACTAAACCTTGCACCTTGTACAGTTGATTGCATCTGCATAGAAGGAGTGCAAAGTGCTCGTTTGGAGTTTGTGTTTTACACCATCAGTGCTCAAATTCAGGGGTGTAAATTAATATAGTGTATAAGGCACAGGAGATTTAGGCCGTATATTTCTTTACATGTTCTGGATCACAGACTGTGCCAATAATTAGTATGCATCTGCATCCCTAGCCATACCTACAGAAAAATATGATTTTGTACAAGTCATTGCAAGCAAATGGGAGGTAATTGTGGGGAAGTAATGGTGGTAAGCACTTTGAGAAAGAAAAACAGTATTTGCCAGTAATTTAACCTCTTTTCACTTGAGGTGCTAAGTGCTTGCATTTCTTATGAGTGTGAACATGGAGCTGGGAGTGCTAAAGCATCCCTTGGGGCCTTAAAGAATATAAACAAAAGGTATTACATTTTAAAAGAAGAAAAATATATCCTTAACAAAAAGAGAATATAGGTCTTAGAAAACCTTTCATTTAACAATGAGGGGCTTTACAGCATTCTGCTAGCCTACAAGAGTAAATGAGAATTCAATCCAAACTCTACAGCTTTAAAAAAAAATAATAATAATAATAGTTATAATAAAATCAGTGTCAGGATTTTTTTGTTTTGTGTTTGTATTATACTGAAGTAGCACAACTGTTTTCTAATGATTTAGAAAGTACATGAAAAATGCATAGGGATTCAGAAGCAATTCTGTAGGCCCCACTCCTTCAATTAAACCATGTACTTGTAAAAAAAATATGCCCGTGTGCCTGCTAGAGTAGGTTCGTGGCCAGATCTCAGTTGTATCATCTGTTGATGTCATGAGAAAAATAAAAATTTAGAGTGCCCAATCAGGGTGCTTTTGTCACCCTCATTTATTCTACAATTATCAAAGGTTGCCAGAGAAACTGTAGTCAAGAGGGCAGTTCATAACATTTTGGTTTTGTCGGGTCCAAAATAATACTCTTCTAAGCTAAAATAACTGAGATAAAAAAGTAAAGGATGGGTAAACTGGAGATAAAATTTCAAGCAAAAAACAGACAATGGTTTCCTGCTTTCAAAGCAGGAAAACTTGAAAGAGACAAAGCTTGTATAAAAGATGACGAGGGAAAAGCCATGAATGTGAATATTATTGTTCGCTAGAAAGTATCAAAAGAACAAAACAAAATTGCTAATAGATCCTTTTTATTTCATGATTGAAATATGCATGGAGTACTACAAAGATACTTGCATATCCCTTCCTGAGTAACAAATACAAATTAAGCACTGATTTTTTTCATCCTGACTAGCATTGAGGAGTGAGTGAGTAGGCTTCTCTAACAAGGGTTTGGTGGACATAAATGCCCAATCGTACAGGTGTGTAGAGGGCTTAAATCACCCAAGATAGGACACTTGATGAAAGTTAATTCACCTGAGTGAGTGAAAGCACAGTCACTTGCTCCAGCCCTAGGGCTGCACTATTGCCAGCTTCCCCTGACCCCAAAAAGGCTATTTTTAGGCTCCCATTCTCCTCTGGCTAGCCAGCCCTCCCTGCTGATCCACCCACAGACCTACCAACCCCCTTCCTCTGCAGATCCAACATCCCCTCTCCAAATCCTACCAACCTCCACTCCCTCAAAACCTGCCCACCTCTTCCCCCACTGAAAGTTACTTAAATCAGGCTCCCCATATGGCTCCCAGGAGTAGCAAACTACTGCACCCATCACTCCTGATCTAGGCAGTTTAAAATATGCAGCCTAGACCAAGACTGGGTACAGCAAAAATTTGTTCACACCCTCAGAGTGTTGGCCTCTGTCTATGTCTTCACCTAGCCAAAGCTGGCATTCAGCGGGCTTAAAGGTTAAAAATAGCCACCTGATCTAATTTAGTTTGCCCTGGGGTGGGCCTTTCACCAAGACCCAGTCTCAGCGATCAGAAATCAATCTATACCCATAATGGTATAGAAGTCCTATACAAACAGACCAGTCTAAACAATGGCAGAACCTGGGCCAAGATAGACTTCCATGCACACTCAGACTTCATTGATCGAGGCAAGACTGGTGCATCAAACTTCATTACAGTTACCTGCACAGCCCCAGGACTGGGAAAGCCTAGCCCCTGGGCTGTGATTTTCCTACCCACCTGCCCGGCACCAGGAATTTTCAGTCCCCCTCGTCCCTTGCCCCCCCATCGCCCCACATCCTACAAGCTGCTCCAGGTGCTATTATAATCACCATTTGCAGATGCTGAGAGCTAAAGAAGTAAGTAAGTACGTACAAGTGGGGGGAAAGGGACAGGAGAGATGGGAGTATAGGTTCACTGCAGGGGTCAAGGGCTAAAAATAGCCTCTGCTCCCTGAAACACTTCCACAGACCCTGCAAGCTCCCCTGATCCCAGCTGCATTCCTGATCCCCTGCCAATGGCTCCTATAGGTGCTGCCTGCCTCCCTTCCCCCCACCAAATTGCTCCCACGAATGCCACCTGCAGAGTGCTGCAAGGCACCTTATTATTAAATAAAAGGTTTTGTAAAGTTGTTTTCTCTTTTTGTGAAGAATTAGTTATATCTTTCTTCTGTTTAAATTAATGCCTTATGTTTTAACTAAGGTGTTGCAGTCTGATTCTTTAAGGTCCTAGGAGATGTTTTAGCACTTCCAGCTCCATGTTCACACTCACAGGAAAGGCAAGCACTTAGCACATCAAGTGAAAAGAGGTTAAATTACTGTCGACTATGTTTCTCTCAGACTGCTTACCACCATTACTGTTTACTACTGATCCCTAATGCAGATGACACTAGTACCCCCTACCTGTCCATGAATACCATCCAAGGAATACAGATTCCCCCCGTCTGCTTACCCCACCCAATCCTCCCCAACTAACCCTTCCTATCCTGACTTACTGTAGGGCAGCCATTTTTAACAGGATCTAACCTCCCCCCTAACTACCCCAAACATCTGTACTTATCCTTTGTGTCCACTCCTGGGAATATTTCTTAAGGGGCCCAATCATAGAAAGTTACAGTTGGAAGAGACCTCAGGAGGTAATCTAGTCCAACCCCCTGCTCAAAAAAGGACCACCACAAACTAAATCATCCCAGCCAAAGCTTTGTCTAGCCAGGTTTTGAAAACTTCCAGGGATGGAGCTCCCACCACCTCTCTGGGTAACCTGTTCCAGTGTTTTACTACTTTTTTTAGTGAGAAAATTCTTTCTAATATCCAACCTAAACTTCCCTTGCTACAACTTAAGACTGTTGCTCCTTGTTCTGTCATCTGCCACCACTGAGAAAAGTCTAGCTCCATCCTCTACCTTCTTCAGGTGGCAGCTGCAATATCACAGGAATTTGGGGATATTTTTGCTCCATGTACAGTTTAGCAGCTTGAAGTGCCTTGAAGAACATACTACTCATTGGTAATAGAGTAAACATAGTTTATTCCCTCCCTGGAATAACAAGGGAAATATTCCTAACATGCTCTAATAACAGTATAACAAGGTCACAACAAAGCCAACACCAAGCCCTTAACAAGCAACTTGGAAGCTGGTAAAGGGTAATTTAAGGATAAGCATTTTAATTCTATTTTAACCATTTGTGGCCCTTTAGAGGGGAAAAAAAAACAAAACAACTCATCCCTTTCACATTAAGCATTGCAAATTAATAGCAGCAGTGGCGACGCATAGCAGGTGCACAGTTGTGCACACCCTGACAGGCCATGCCCCCTGGTTAGACAATGGGCAGAGGGAGCAGGGGGGGAGTGCTGGTGCCCCCTGCAAGTGCTGGCTGGGGACTGGGAGTGCTGGATGAAGTGCCACAACCACTTCCCAGTTGGTGTGATTGGCTGCGGGGGGGGGAATTCCACCCCCAGTCAGTGAGATAGTCATAGGGGGCATGTGCCTCCCCATGAGCAAAGGTGGCACCAGTCACCCATGAATAGTAATATATTTCTTTCTACTGGGTAAAAACGTGCTTGGCCTGGTTGGAAATGTTGTGACACAGCAGAGAATTTATGCAGGTTTGTGATGAATAAGGCAAAATGTATTCAGAGTTCATCCGTCTTGCATGGAGTACAACAGAGCAACACCAAAAGCTTTTGTACATCTAGTGCACAACTAAAAGGGCCTTACATAGCTGTAGGTAAAAAAAAAGAAAAAGAAAAAAAAAAAAAAGAATTGCACATTTCTAACAGATAAGTTATTAGGGATTGGCTCCTGGTTCTGGACTTAAGTAGTTGAACAGGTAAGGCGTCAGGAGCCATTTTGAAGTGCAAAAAGAAAGCAACTGGAAAATTTCAGCAAAAATCAACATTAAAAAGAATCTTTTAGTTGGGTATTTAGATACTCAGAGGTCAAGAAATCCCAATGTAATGACTGCCACCTTAACTCTGCCTTTTTTGGTAAGTGCATGCAAATACACATAATTTTAATTACTAACGAATGTAGATGCTGAAGTACTGCTTTGTCTATCCATTTTGTAACAATGGACTGAGGTGTCATGTACCAATGGGTCAAGTGTCAGTTCACCATGGATGGCTGAGATGCTAGTGCAATAAGGCAGCACTAAAGTCTGCTGCTCTGTGGTGTTGGGATCTGCAACAAAACAAAACAAACACATTGAGGGCCATTCTGAAATCTACACCCAGGCCTTGTCAACAATATCTGGTCTCCAATAGTGGCAAATAGTGAACATAGTAAGAATATAAGAAATATATCATATGTAAAATGGTCGATATTCTGTCATATACCTACAGATAAAACTGGATGTTTGAGTACCTGGGGCAGCAGCAGTGCATGGGGCAGAAATCAGGGTCTGTGTTGCTAGTGGCAGCCAATTTGGCAGCACAGCTGCTGCTATTTTTGCTCTTCCTCTGGGGTCCACACTGGGGGCTGTACCCTAGTTGCCCCATCTTCATTATTCCACTGCATGCACCCCAGTTATCAGCACTGATAGCTGTAGTAATATCTTGAGTCTGAGTTTCCATCTTGTCCATTATGTTTAGTGTAAACAGGTCACCCACTCAGCTTCCTTACTGAGGCCAGTGAGCACCATGTCCAGGGTAACCAGCTAGTTTATAGGAGACAGCCTTGTCCCCGCAGTAAAATGTAAACAACAATCAAGTCAGCGTGCTAACAGTAGACAAACAAACCAACTCATCTTGCAGTCCTTATACCTTGGACTGAGGAGTGGACACACAAGCTGTGTTTCTCCCAAAACATGAGGTCCTCTTCTCTCTCTCTCTCCCCTCTGCTCAGAGGTTTGAACCCTTTTTTGTGGCTCCACCCTTGTTTACTACTCATCAGTAGTAGTTGCACCAGTTCCAGAAGGCTGTTACGCCTTAAACTTAGTTTCCCCCAGAAAGGGACCATGAATTTGCCAATCTGTTTCTGAACCTAGCTGGTCTCTACACTATCCTATAGAAATAGTTCCCCATACTAATTACTCGTTGTGTAAAAATTACTCCCTTTTAATAATTCTGCTGCCTCAATTCCATTGGTTCTCATTGAGGGTTTTTTTGTTTTTTATTATGAGCCATTTTTAGAGTTCCCTCTTCACCTTTTTTACATTGTTCATGGTTTATAGATCTCTGTTTTATCTCCTCCCTGCCATTTCTTTTATAAGCTGAAGAGTCCAACCTTAGCAAGCTGTTCCAAACCCTCAATGATCTGTGTTTGCATTCTTTGCAACTGATCTAGTTCTAACTTTTTTTTTTTTTTTTTGAGATATAAAAACAAGATTTGCACACAATATTCAAGATATGAGAACACCATCAATTTATATCAGGACATAATGATATTTTCTATTTTGTTTTCATTCCTTTCCTAATGATTCTTAAGCTATACTTTGCCTTTTGGCCACTGCTGTAGATTAAGCCAATGCTTTTGTGAGCCACAAACACTCCAAAATGTCTTTTCTGAATGATAACATTCAAATTAGAGTTCATACTAATTTTGGTACAGTTAGGGTTACTTTCCCCACATGCATTACTTTACACTGACCAATATTAAAAACTTTCTTCTGCCACTTTATTGTCCACTCACTCAGTTAAGTAATATTCTTCATCATTAATTTTGAATTAGACAGCCTGGAATAATTTAGTATCATCTGCAAACTTTGCAACTTATATGCCCTTTTCCAGGTGATTTATAAATAATACAGGACCCAGCAAATATGAATATTTGAATACCTGTGATTTTTATATATTTTCATAGATCATAAACTGGTTAAAAGACTTCCCTGGGGATCTCATGATAGCTTAGTTTCTTCAAGGGCCTTTGATAAAGGACTTTTTCAAAGTTTTTAAAAAAATCCAAGAATACTATATTAAATTGGATTCCCCATATCCATAAGCTTCTTGACAGCCTCAAAGCATTGTAGATTGGCAACATACAATTTCCCCTTTCAAAAACAATATTGACACTTCCTAAGATCATATTTATTCACGGGATAGTATTTTGTACTACAGGTTTTACCATTTCCCTGAGAACAGAAGTTTAATTCACCTATGGACAGATCTAGGGGGAGGCAAAGGAGATGCAGCCACATCCTCATCTGCTGTGTGGCACATGTGCTCTGGACACCGCGATTCACTGGCATGTCAGTGTAGCTTCTGCCAGAGCTCCACCTATGCCATGAGCTCTATGCTTACCAGGTGATTATTGCAGGCTTTAGCCACAGTCCCTGCTTTCATAGAGTTCCAGAGCCCAGGGTGCGAGTAATCACCACTGTACACCATCCCTCTCCCCCTACACTTGCAGAGGGAAAAAACAGAGATGAGCAGCACTGCAGCCAAATTCAGTGTGGATAGGGCAGGGTGGTGAGGATAGTGGCACTTACCTGCTGGGCTTTGAAGCTGCATGCAAACAAGGCTGTGGCCCCAGCCTCTGACAAGCAGTGGATGAGGTTGGAAAGCTCACTATGCATGCACTGCTCAGCAGAAGGGGAGGTATGACCCCACTGCCACACCCCCTAGATCCACCCATCCATAGTTTTCTGGGCCATCTCAGGAGCACTGTTAAAGATTGCCACTGTAAAAACCCTGGCTTCTAAAGTCCAGGCCCCTGGCACTGAAGCTGATAAGTGAGAGGTTGCACAGTTCTGCTAATGGTTTTTGCAATGTCATAGTTGAGTTCCTTTAGGACTGTTGGGTGAATATCATCTTATGCTGCTGGCATAATGTATTTAGTTTATCATTTTAGTCTAAAACTCTGCTCTTGTTCTGTCATTTTGAGTGAACTCTTCATATTTTTCTGATAAGAAGAAGGGTTTTGTGTGGGGAAACTCCACAACATCATCTGTGGTAAAGACCAATGCTAGGAATTCATTTAGTTTCTCTGCTATGGCTTTGTCTTCCCCAAGTGTACCATTTCATTCAGATTCTCTCATAGGTTTCACCAACTCCCTCCAAAACTTCTCACTTCTGGCGTATTTTCTATGAAACAATATTACTTTCAAGTCCTCAGATTATTTTTTGGCCTGCCATATCATGATTTTACACTTCACTTGCCATAGTTTGTGCGCCTTTTATTTTCCGCATTTGGGCATATTTTGAATGATGTATTTTTGCTTCAGATAGACTCCTTGATTCTGTTATTTAAACTTGCTGGGGAATGGGGGGCATGGTTTGACCATTTATTGTCTTTTTTGAGGTTATAAGGCTTGAAGAGTCCCAAATCCAAACAGCTCCATTACGTTCAAGTAATGCATTTTCAGCAGTCCTGTTGAAATGATGCTCAGGCTGCTGCGTTTTCCTACCAGGGATTAAAGGCGAGTGCCAAGACATTGTGGTGCCAGCATTCGTTTAACCTCTGGGTCTGACAACCAGAGAACATCAAAAGGATCCCTCCAGAGACTTGTGGATTGAAGTTCTTCATTTGAAGCCAAAACCTTTATATACAATTGAAGCAGAGAGAAAGAAGAATATAAGACAGGTATAATTAGGAAGATAATTAACTGAATGTCATGAGGCAACAGGTGTCTAATGAGAACTGACCTACTCTCATCCTATTTATCCTGTCCTCTTTATTTGAAAAATGGCATAAGAGTGCGAGTGATAATGGGAGAAGTCAGTTCAGAATCCTGGAGAAATACCAGAACTCTTACAAGAAACAGACAGCATATTAATTACGGACAAAGGTTGCCGAGAGGAACAGCCAAAGAAAAATGTTCAGCTACCAGCACTTTATCACACCCAGGACTGAAAGTGTACCACTTGCTGACCTCAGTCTTGAGATTCAGACATGGAAATCAGTGATGATGATGACGACAATTAACATTTGCAAAATTGATTGGCAAAAGTCTTTTATATCTTAATTAGACAACTAAATAAAAATGGCCATATTTCCAGAGATTCTGAAATCACATCTTTGATGTTAGACTTGTTTAAGCAACATCAGTCTAAGTTTAAATTTATGGGGCTTTTCCACTGTTATTTATTTACTAAAATTAGATCTAAGCAGGGGTAGATCCAGGGGGATAAACCCCATTGATTCCTGCATCTCCCAAGCCAAGTGCCTAGCAGTAGAAGCAGCATTTCCATTTAAGCAGTACCAAGGGAGTCATTTGACTTCATGGTTCATGATAATCTACCCAATTCCTTCTAAACTGTTTATTCCACAAGTGTTAATGACCCTCTCTCCTTTTTATTAATCATCTTAATGGTCACTAATCAAACTATCATTTCTTCAGCAATTGTGCTTTACTGTTAGCTGCTCCTGGTAATATAGTTCTTATTTCACAGCCCTGCAGGCTGTTTTTAACTGTAGCTAAAAACATTAACTCAGGTATGGAATTAACTTTTAGTGATGCATTCAGCGCACTGTCAAAGTGTTCAAGAAGGCTAGGTATCTATTTATGAATCTGAAAGAGAGGCTCATTTAATTATAATGACAATAAGACTATGAAACAAAGTAGGCAAAAATACTTAAAAGATGTTGTGATAAATATAAATCACGTGTTTAATGATACTATCATAATATATGATATAGCAGACAATATGATTAAAACATGTTCCAATAATGTTATACTTATTTTTGCTCCAATCTTGAAGTGAATAATACAGCCCTAGGCCCATAGCTTATTAGTTAAGGCTCTAACTTCTTTTTACCCAGAGAAGAATGTGTGTTATGTGATGATGTAACCACACCGCCTGCACTTCAGCGTTTCAAAATCCTAGACCCACCCATGTTTCTAAGCAAATTGCCACCATGGTAAGTACTTACCTAGTCCATTCTCAATGTTAAGTTTAGTAACTGAATAAAGAAAAATAATAAAAATTTAATTAAGGTTTTAACTGCATCCAATCTTTTACTCTTTATTCTGCCAAAATACATAAAATAAAATAAAAAAAAAAACAACAACCTTTAGAAATATATAAGAAGGTATTTCTAATAACTCAGGCTATACAAAGTTTTAGTTTCTACTTCATCAGCCTCTCTGGAAACAAAGTTCCCACTGGTTCAAAACTAATAATGCTGTTATTTGCCCCAGATTGTCCCTCCTTTTCCCAAATAAAATAGTATGATGGTTACCAACAAATGACTGATTACATAATATGAATTAGTCTTGAGGCTTCATCTGGAGTAGCAATTAACCACAGAAGTCCAACTTTGGCTTGCCCAGATATTACAAAGCCTTGCTTAGGTCGCACAGAATTTTAACCGTATAGTAAAAGTTATTTCTAACTTACAATTCATGAAAAATAAATATTAAAAAGCCTTTAAAGAATTTTGGGCATATCAAATCTGAAATACTACAATTGAGATATTTTCTAGTTATTAAGCCCCTAAAATATTTGAACAAAGTTTAATGTTTCCAAAACATCATTTTCAAGTACTGATGACTTGAAATTGCTTTAAAACTTTTTAAAAAGTTGCCGAGAAATAATTTGTCTTGTCCAGCATTCACAGCATCATGTTTATAATGGAGTACTGGTTACAGTCTGCATTATGGCTCCACCAGACAACACTTGGAGGGAATTGGGAGAGATTCACAAGGGGACTAGTGGGTGGCATGGATGGCCCCGTGTCTCTCATAGATATTTGAAAATTCTGCAGAAAAACCTACAGGCCTCAGGATTAAAGAACAAAAAGAAAACTCTCCAACAAAAATTTTACTATTAAGCTTTCCTTCTTACCTGGCATGTTCCTTCCACTTCTTCACAGCAGGTACCTTTGAAGCCTAAATTTATGCTGTCAGTTGTACATGGCCATCACACTTCAGAAAGTGGCCCTAGTGCCCTATGGTCTTTCTACCCTTGCCTTCCTCTGGCTCATTAGGGTGCGGCTTCTCTGCCACACCTTTGTTTGAAATGTTTTTCAAATCAGATCACTGACCTAGACTTTCCTGCTATGAGAGACAGATCTTTGCTGCTGTTTGGAGCCATGTGGGGGGTCTGGTGTAAGTGACTTGGGGTGGGGGAGGGGCAGATGGGGTCAAGGTGCTAGTGTGTCCATGGGGTGGGGGTTGATGGATGCACAGCAGGGGGGAGGGGCATGCCCCATCATGGGGAGTGCTGAGGGCTAAAAACCCCTGTTAGGGCTACACAAATTCCACACCAACCCTAACAATGTGTTTTTAGCCTAAGCTGGTGGGGAATGACTAGGCTTTCCCTGCCCCAGGGCTGCACTGCAAATGCATACAGGCATTTACAAGGTCAGGTTAACCCTTTCTAAAATGGTTTGACCGAATCTCAGTCTAAAGTCCCTGCCACACATTCAGACTAAATCTGGAGAGAAACCAGCTACACAGCTGTTACACATTTTCAAGCATTAACTTTGTAACTGGTTGGCTCTTTACAGCTGGATAGTCATCTCTATGATGTAATAATTACTTTGCATGTGTGACCACTTGAAATTCACTGCACAATTAACCAGTTACTTCCGTAATATGGGTAATGTGGGGCAGGAGCCTTATTTAGTGCACCTGCTCAGGTGGTTAGGTGAAACTAATGTAATGCCTGTACCTATGAAATTCTATTTCACCCCTACCACCTCTATGTATATAGGATCAATACCTAAATATATAAACAAATTGAGCTTTAACCAAAGTTATCTTTTATTCCTATACTCATTCCTTTGTACCATATATCTACTTTTAGTCAAAGCTACCCTTTTCACTTCCACTTGATTCCGCTCTTTTTTTAAATTGTGGCAACTCACTTTTACAATTCTTTAACTTTTCAAGTGGTTTCATGGACTTGTAGTAGGTCACATTTCAAAACATTTTATTCTTTTTTGTACTTGTATTTTAAAGAAGAAAATACTGGAGGATCATATATTATAGGAGAGAAACATATATATTGCCTTTCTTTTTAAAACAGGATTATTTATAGAATTTGGTTTGTTTGTTTTTTTTTAAATAATCTCTCTTCCACTGCACCATTTTACAAGCCTGGGTCTCTGAGCTCAATGTATCAGGAAAAAAAATCAAGGCCCACTCCACTGAAATCAATGAAATTACACTATTGCAGAACCAGCTTTAGTGAGAGAGAATCAGACTCTGCATTATACACTCCTGCTGTTCTTGACATCTGCAGCTCTTCTAGAATAAGAGGAACTCATGTTTCAGGATGTTATTCTCACATGCATCTCATTACTCAAATAAGCCAGGTTTATTTTTGGTTTTCTTAGTTTAAATCTTATGTAAAAGAATTGATGAAAGATTGGTACTCATGAGAAAGTGAAAAAAAGAATAGACAAGCTCTTCTTTTTCAGTGACAATTAGATACAAATGGTTACTGACAACCAAATTATTTTCTTCTCCCTCTTGGTGGGGGGACAAAGGAGTGAGATTCTGCTCCTATTGGCTGCTGACTTCAGTGCAGCTAGGATTTCTTCCAAGGCCACATATTCAAGAAATCAAAGACCTGGGGAAGGCATTTAAAAGAGAGAGAGAGAGAGAGGCAGCATTCTATTTAATGCATTCACATTACATAAGGAAATATATCTAACTGGAATCCTCGGCTACATTTCTTCTTGTATTTCGTGAATTAGGGGCTCCACCACAGAGACATTAGGTATAAAAGTGGCAATCTGCAACATAATATGCAGTGTAGCTTCATAAAGTCAGAAAATATGCATGAAGTGATGCCATAAAACCTAGTTATATGGTGTGACAAAGTGGTTGATATTTTTTTCAAACCTCCAAGACTTCTAAATATGACAGGCAAAATTCTAAATAGATATATTTGATCATATGCACCACTACATGGGTTTATAAGTCTGTACAATTAGGTTTATCTTTAATTTGCCTTCTTAGAGCACTTATGCAAGTTACATTTTTCATGTGAAAGTGCTCTACAGCCATGACAGCACATATGTTCACAGCTGCAGTGTTTTTTTAAATGTCCAATTGCACAAAAAGTTAACCCTTGTTAAATCAGCCATTAGCTAAAGGTACTGTAGAGCAGAGCACCTTAGGGAATTTCTGTTCAGGTTCCCTGCAAGGGATAAATGTGAGTAATTCTTTCCACATCCCATGTGCCTTTGCAGGGCTGTCACAGAAAAGAAAGAGTCTCTTCCCTGGGCAGTGGAAGAGGGAGATGCAGAAGGTATCCCTGCTGAGGTCTTGGGGAAAGGTATACTAGGCCTGTGAGACAGAGGGGCTCTGCTCCCCTCTCCCTCACCCCTGCTCTGGCCTCCGCAAGGCCAAGTGGGCAACTGCATGCTGCCACTGTCAAGAGGGTGTAGCTGGGAGGAGAGGGAATGGAGTCTCCCCACCTCATGGGCCAGGCCTGGCTCCCCAACTACCCCACAGCTGTGAGGCAGGGGGGATCCCTTCCCACATCCCCTGCTGGAGTCTCTTGACAGTATGCAGCTACTGGCTCACAGCTACCAGCTCAGCTTTGCCACAACCATATCTGGGGCAGGGGAACAGAGTGGAATAGAGCTCCAACACCTCATGGTTTCCCCCTAGTTACCCTGGCTGGGGTATTACAAGGAATCAGTTCAGGCCTTCAGGGTGAGGAAGCTCTGTTTCACTCCCCCCCTGCACCCCAGTTACAGCCACTGTAAAGATAAGCTGGCAGTTGCTAGCCAGCGGCTATGTGCTACTGCTGTCAAGAGGCTCGGGTCAAGCATGGGTCAAGCCTGGCTCCCTCCAATACCCCAGCTAGGGTGGCTTGAGGGGGCCTGTAGGTTAGGCAGGCTCCTTTCCCCTATCCCCCCACCCAAGTTTCTTAAAAGGGGCAATACACAGCTACTGGGTTGGCTTTCCATAGCCAGAGCTCAGGAAGGGCTGGGCAGGGGACAGGAGGGGTCTGCAGCCTCCTGTGAGGCTGCTGGAGCACACCCACCTGCTGGGCAGGGCCCGAGTAGGCAGGCTCAAGCCCTCCCACCCAACAAATGAAAGCCAATTGGATTCAGTGTCACTAACTCATGTCACTTTGTGTAAGTGCCATGGGTTAGAAAACCTTCCTGACAGGCTGCCTAAACATCTGTAGGCAGCCTTAGTCTTTTTCTTATGGTGGTAAGCTAAGGGATGTAACTGGTTGTTTTGAAACTGTAGGCCATCATTAAATCACATACACACACAAAAGCCATTGTGATACAACAGAACAAACTGTAGTTGGTCCCAGTACCTGGTATAATATGCCTGGTTTACAAAGTGTAAATTAGAGTGCTTCTTCATTTGGATGAATACAGTAACCATTCTTACTACTATACAGTTAAAATGCTAAAACTAAGTTAGTACATTTGTCAAATGAGAACCGTCCATCATACACTTTTCAGTTCTCCTCCAGATCCTTTTTAGGGGTTTGTTTTTGTTTGTTTGTTGGGGGGGCGCGGAGGGGAGGGGTTAGAACTTTTCTTTCCCTTTTTTTCCTCTTTAAATCTTTCTAACTTTCTTGCCATCATGATTTGCTTAAAGAGTGATGAAAAGGTTCATCATCTGGAAGGGTTTTTTTCCCCCTCCCAAGAATTCCATATTAGTAATTTTTCTGTAAAAATAACATTTAAAAAAACCCTTACCCATCTCGTGATTCATTAAGAATGGTTAATTGGAGCCTATGCAGAATCAGTAGTGCTAATTATGAGTTAAACAAGTTTTGAAAAGACACATGCATGACAAATGATCCGAGTTCAAACTGAGAGTCAGCAGAAGTCCTGATGTCACCCCAAATTACAATGCAGGGAACAAATATTGCATCAAACTATTGATACCAGTAACCAAATGATTAAAACTCTCCAATGGAGAGAAATTCACCAGTGGATAAGGGGGATATCATATTTCTTCTGTTCTCTGAAACAACCAGCTGAAAAAAAAAAAAAAAAAAAAAAAATAACCCTACCTGCTGAGTGTAAATATTCTGTAGGGATAACAAGAGCTAAAGAACTTGCTGTCTAATTATGGCACTCTAGTGCCACATTAGAAAAGGCAGTATGTATAGCCTAGAAGCATTTTCCCAGATTCAAATAAACATGAAGTTGAAAGAGTTGTCCCTGGCTTCTTAGACAAGAAAGAAAACTGTAAACAAATAAATGAAAAGTAATACTAAAAGGTAGCATTAAGAATCCTTCTCAGTATCTTAGAAAGAGAAGAGCAAGGCCAGCTGTATCACCTCAGGTGCTGTTTTTATTCAAAATTCTCCTTTCAACTCCACACCATAGCAAACATCAGTTCCAATACTGTAACCTGCCTGCCTTCAAAGAAGTGACCATTGATATCAAGAAAAATTCTGAACATTAAGGAACAATGGAAGATGTCATGGCGGGGTCCTGCAGGAGGTCCGTGATCTCCTTAAGGCCCCTTCCTCTGTGCCAAGTCAGCCCAAGGGCACCCTCGGATTCTCGCCCGCCACGTCTTTGATGTTAGATAAGGTTGGGAGGCTACCTCACATCTTCTTGGACACGGTCCGCTGTAACCTCTGGTCCTGTAGGCTCCCAGACCCCTCATGGGTCTTGTCCTGCAAACGGGTATTTCAGGGCACCCTAGCCTTATGGGCTATGCATGGCTCCAACCACCCCTTATACCACACCCCAAGCCTTGCAGTTGGAATGGACATTGGTCTGTCAAATACACTCACCTACTCTCTGGGGCCTCCTCTGTACTGTCACCCGCTCTCTGGGCTCTCCGTGCCCGCTCTGGGTCTTCTCTAGAATACTGCCCCTCTCTTGGGACTCTCTCTCCAATGCTGCCCTTTTCCTAGGGCTCTCTGCACCCCCTCTGGGCCTTCTCTGTAGTGTCCCCCCTCTCTGGGGCCTTCCCTATGAAGCTGCCCCTTTCCTGGGGACTTCTGTGCCCACTTTGGGACTTCTTGGTTAAGCCACCTGTCTCTCAGGCCCACTGCACTGCTACCCCCTCTCTCCAGGGCTCACCGTACTACTACCCCCTCTCTCCGGGGTTTACCACAGTACCATGCCCTTCCTCAGGGGCTCACCACGCCCACACTGGGGCTTCTCAATAGCACCCCCTCTCTGGGGCTCACCATGCCCAACTTGGGCTTTCCAATAATGTTGCCCCCTTTCTGGGGCTCTCCATGCCCACACTTGGGCTTCTCAAACACCCCTCTTCGGGGCTGGGGTCTATGCACCACGGGTGCTGTGCCCGCTGGCATCCCCATGCTACGCTGGGTCCCACATGAGAATACTGTGCCCTCACTGGCACTGGGGCCCCCACACCACTGTGGGTCCCTATGAGGATGCTGCACCCTCACTGGCACTGGGGCCCCCACACCACTGTGGGTCCCTTTGAGGATACTACGCACTCACTGGCGCTGGGGCCCCCACACCACTGTAGGTCCCCTATGAGGTCTTCTCCAACCCCTTATAGCCACACCCAAACCACCAGTGTAACAACACAGCAGAATGCAAACTCAAGCCTCTTGGCTACAACTTAATCCTAAGCCACCTGGCTGTAACAACATTGCTCAGACATCTTGGAGCTGCTATCCATAACTCTGCTTAAGCAGTACCTGCAGTTCTTGCTGCTTCTCACATCTTTGCTTTGCAAGCTCCTGCTCTCTGGCTGCTGGCAGGGAACTGCTAGCCTGGCCTCAGCCCCTGGGCCTTATGAGGGTGAGGCCCTGCCCCTTCTGGTCAGCTGACTTCCTGGTTGCCCCAGGCAACCCACAGCTGTGCTCGTTATTCCCTGCCAGGGCTCTCTCCCTGGCAGTTTCCCCTCTCTAGGAGCAGGGCACCTCAGTGCTCTGTGACAGAAAACTGACATCAAGATCCATGAGGTAGAGCTAAGAAGAAAATTGTGTACATGTAGCATCTACTGATATGGTAGGGACAATATTTTTTCTATGGGACACTGCCATATTAAACTAGCCCTTTTTTCTTTTGTTAACCTGTACCTGGACACTTTGAATAAAACAAATTAATAACTCATCAGTCTATGTATCAGATTTGAGATATCCATTGTCATTTGTCATAACCCAAGGGTATGATTTTGTGTGTGCTTCGGCACTGCAGAATTATTTCCCGCCACGAGGAGCTTTCTTTGCACGGTGCAATTCTCAGTTGCATGGAGAAAACCCCAGTGCAAAGGAGTTCCCGCCACCTGCACCACTATTGGCTGTTTCAAAATTATCCCCACGGGGCAGCTAGCGATTGGCTTGCTAGCCGTATAAGAGGCTTGAGCAGTTTCCGCCCAAGTCGGAGGACTCCACAACCATCTGGAGGACGAGGACTTCACATCTTGTGAAGAACTCTAAGTGCTGCGGAGCCCAACGACCCCAGCGTGTGCCTTAAGGAGGATACAGGGGCCTGATCAACCTCTAGCCTCTCCCCGTCACTGCCTAATCCCTCAATGTACCCTTCCCTGCGCGCTTTCGGTCCACGGAGCCTAGCAAACTTTGTGTGTGTGTGTATCCAGAGCTCTTTCCGAGTTATTTCAAGAGGCTCGAGTTTTTTTATGGGTCTTGTTCGTACGAGTTTTGTAACTGCAACTTAAGCGAAGTTTTCTCCTGCCTGCCCCGCCACCATCTACGGTGTAAGTAAAATAATCTTTAATCAACCGCTACGCGTCCGTGCCTAATTCTAGTCCGCCGTCCTGCATTCCCCGACCCACGTGCCAGGGCTGCTGGCCACAGCCCGCCACGCGCCCCCGAAGGCCTCAGACCACTCCCGGCCCGCACATCATTGATTAAAATTCTACTTGAGTTAACTTAGTTTCATAGTTGGTAGGGTCGGAAGGGACCTGAGCAGATCATCAACTCCAACCCCCTGCCATGGCAGGAAAAAGTACTGGGGTCAAATGACCCCAGCAAGGTTTTCATCTAACCTCCTCTTAAAGACCCCCAGGGTAGGAGCCAGCACCACTTCTCTTGGAAGTTGGTTCCAGGTCCTAGCTGCCCTGACTATGAAGTAGCGCCTCCTGATGTCTAGTCTGAATCTACCCTCTGCCAGCTTGGGGCTGTTATTTCTAGTCGCTCCTGGTAGTGCTCAGGGGACAGGGACTCCCCCAATGCCTGCCGGTCCCCTCTGACTAGTTTGTAACAGGCCACTAGATCCCCCCTCAGCCTTCTCTTATGGAGGCTGAACAGGTTCAGGTCCCTTAGTCTCTCCTCATAGGGCCTGCCCTGCTCCCCCCTGATCATGTGGGTGGCTCTCCTCTGAACCCTCTCAATGCTGTCCATATCCCTCCTGAAGTGCGGTGCCCAGAACTGGATGCAGTACTCCAACTGCGGCCTGACCAGTGCCGCATAGAGGGGGAGGATCACCTCCTTGGACCTGCCTGATATGCACCTGAGGATGCATGACAAGGTGTGGTTGGCCTTCCTGACCGTGTCCCCACACTGTCGGCCCATGTTCATCAATAATGATTCCAGATCCTTTTCTGCCTCTGCACTGACAAGAAGGGAGTTCCCCAGCCTGTAGGTCTGCTGCTGGTTCTTCCTCCCCAGGTGCAGCACCTTGCATTTGTCAGTGTTGAAACCCATCCTGTTCTCATCTGCCCACCCCTGTAACCTGTCTAGGTTCAGTTGCAGCCTATTCCTCCCTTCTATTGTGCCCACATCTTAATGTCATCAGCAAATTTGAATAGGGTGCTCTTTACCCCCTTGTTTCTTTCCTTTTTCAAAATAGATATTTTTCTTTCCAAGTAGACAAACTAATACATCCATGGTTAATTGTTATGACCTTTTAAAAAACTATTTAGGGACTAATTCTATTTCTGTTAATTTTCTACAGCTCAGAAATGATTTTGTGATTGTTGTATGTTAGGTCATGAAATGGGATTCAGGACTAGTGTATAAAGGACTGACACAACAACTTATTCAATGAATGACATAAAGTCTTTATTTACTACAAGTATTCACTGTTAAATGAGCCTAAAGCAAGCAAAGTCCAGTATATTTAGCCATAAAAGTGATAGTTTCTCACCAATACAGGCAAGAGGTAGTCTCAATCTTGTCAGCTTCCTAAGGTGCAGATCTGCTCATCAGAAAATCAGCTGGACAAGAATGACAAGATTTATCATTCTTGAAGTGTGTGCTGTTAGCTGTTTAGTTTCTCTTTTATACCATTTAGCTCAGCACCTTCAAAGCATTCTTGTAGTTGTGTAAAGCAAGAGAGAATCCCAAGCAGTAATTAACAGGAAAATCCTGTTAATGTAACTGATCATTATTGGTTATCAGAAAGTCCCAATTTTGACTGAAATACCTTCCTCAGTAACAAGAGGTTATCAGTTTCTACTAAGTTGAAACATATCAAGAAATTGATTAACAACCAGGAAAAACATAAGGCTTGTGAGGAATCATCCTTGGAAGATCAAGGGAACCACTGAGGCAAAATAAGAGTAAGTCAGGAAGAGACACCTAGCAAAGCCCATATGGAGAATCTCTCTTCCTACACATAAACATGAGTTAATTGCAAAGAACTATTTACTCTACTAATTAATCAAGGATAGACAATTCACACAGTTACATAACAGACACATAGAAGCCTGCTTAAAATTATCATAAATATAACAAGATAAGCTGGAAGTGATACCTCTTTTTTCCCAAAAGCCCCAGCCACAAACTTCCATCCTTTTGCACTATGCAAATATCACCAATATTTTTTATTTTAACTAGATAGAGATGCACTGATATATCTGTTTTATATCAGATCTGCACTGATAAAAAGAAAATTAACATTATTAGCTATTGGCTTTTTTTGGTCAGTGTAGCCAGTAATGTTCACTGATAAATATAATATGCCTTCTGACTAGGGACCCCAGACACCATATGCATGGGAGCAGGTGGGGAGAGGGATGGAGCCATGGACTGCTAATCCAGAAGGCATGGGGGAGTAGGGATGGGAGGTAGCTACCTGCCACTGCATGCATTCCCCAGGAGAGGCACAGGGGGACATGTACCCATCCCCAGATTTGTGCCCAGGGCAGATGCTGGCTGCTTGATTTGGGTTCAAGGCTCTCTGTTCTGCTGCCTTTCCCTTGAGAGTCCTGTACCAGCTGCATGCCCCCTGTCCACCTACCCAGCAGCAGTGGGGGTGGTAAATTGTGCCTCCCACTACTGGGTGGGCATGTGGCACACAGATGGCATGGGGCACCTGCGGCAAAGGCAGCAGGGGAGAGAGCCCTGAGCCCACAGCAATCAGCTTGCATCTGCCTTCACCCCGCCCAGCTTGGTTCCGGTTAAAAGTGTCCCCCCCCCCCCCCCCCCCCAGAGCGCCCCCCCCACCCCCCACACACACACTTAAAAAATAGTAGTGGTGGTGCTTGAACTAAAGTTAATTAGATGAACTTTAGTTCAAGCATCCCTGCCACCATTTTTAAGTACTGGGAAATGGATCCCCTGGATGAGTCACCTGCAGCTCTGTCCTGCTCCCTGCCATAGCCCCAGGTCCCATTCGCCATCCTAGCTGGGCAGCACCCCAGCCCCAGCCCCTGTCCCACTTCTTCACTCACCATGGAGGCCTCAATCTGTGCCCCGCTCATGCTACTTCTCTGCCCCATGCCTCTTCCCCTCCACAGAATTACCTGTAGGGAGCTGATCTCCATGCTGCCTGGCTGCATTCCAGTAAATCAATTATTGGATCACTGTCAGGCAATATGTCTGGTTAATAATTGGCTATTGGTATTGGCCAAGAAAATCTGTATCAGTGCACCCCTAATTTTAACTTTTGTAAGTAGGCCCAGCTTAGCTTGAGTTTCATAGTCATCATTGTATTACTAATCATTTGTATTCCAATAGCATCTAAATCCTCTGATAAAGAATTTCCTAAGGATTGTACAGTCCCTGCCTCAAAGATCTAATTGTATGTATTAACAAGAAAAGTAAAGGTTAAAGACAGTTACAAAATAGCAGTGAGGTAAAATGACTTACTCAGGGTGCAAGTGCAACCAATAATAAAATCCAGGTCTTCTGGTTGCCTGACTACCCATAACATGAGTAGTTCCCAACTTTCCAGTTCCATTGGCCAGGCTGAATCTCACGTGAGGTCAGAACACAGGGTCAGTTGAGAGGTATAATCCAGTACACTGGACCTGATCCCATGCACCAGGTCTGATCCCAGGTCACCAGCTCAGTCCTGTTTGTGGCCTGATCCTGCACACCCAGATTCAACTGTATACTTGCACAACCCTGCCTACTCAGATCTGGCCATATGCTGGCATGATCTAGCATGCAGGGCCATGTTGTGAGGCCTTCAGGGCCCCCTATAAGTCTGGAAGGGGAGCGGCAATTAGCACTGCCATTGCTCCCCACCACCGAATTTCTGGACCTGTGGGGAGTCCTGTGGGCTAGATGACATGACTCCCCAGGGTGGTGTGACAGCCAGAACCAGAGGGGTTAAATCAATAAATATATGCTCTTGGAGACATCTGGTAATTGTCTGACAAAGCTTGCAAGTTTGTAACCTGCAAATGTAACTTGTCTGTCATAAGTTTAACCAAAGTGTTGAAACTGTCTGCACTGATCATGAAACTAGCTAGGCCCCAAAAATAAAATTGCAAACATCAGCTAGTCTAACGGTTCTTACTTAAGCTTCAGCCATAACGACAAACCCTGACCACAAAATATAATTAGCACC